CAAAAACTAAAAAAACAATCCCCACCGATTCCATCTGGTTAAGATTGACATCCAAGAAATACCAAAAAGAGCGCATTTTCAATATCTTGGGTCGATAATTCAAGAAAATGAAGCGATTGAAGAAGATGTCGCACATAGAATTGGAGCTGGGTGGGTGGAGTGGAGATGTACAGCCAAACTTTTATGTGATCGCCCGCAAGTTCTATAGGACAGGTGTGAGACCATCTTTGCTGTATGGGGTAGAATGTTGGGCGGTGAAAAAACAACATACCATAGAATGAGTGTAGCTAAAATGAAGATGTTGAGATGAATGAGTGGCAAGACAAGAAGGGATAGAATTTGAAATGAATACATTTGGGAGAATTTAGATGTAGCACTAATATGATAAGATACGAGAAAGTAGACTTAGGTCTATTGGCCATGTGCAACGCAAACCCAGTATAGCACCTTTTAGGAGGTGCAAGTTGGTTCAAGGCTAAAAAAATGCAAGGGGTGGGCCCAAAAGGACATGGTTGAAAGTAGTGAGAAAATATGGTGCTTATGACCTCGTTAAGGGTATGACCCTTGATGGAGAAGAATCACCTACCTTGTTTTTTTTTTTGCTCTTTTTGGCTTGTGTGGGGTGGGGGGGGGGGGAGAATGTTTGGGGATAGGGTGTGAAGATAAGTGGACTTTATTTAATGTGCAATTCCTCACATCTGATCTTTTGGCTGCTTCTTTATTTCAAATTGTGATCCTTTTGACTGTTGGAATTATGCCTAGTTTAAAATTTTCTAGTGTTGAAAAATGCTGTGATATACTGGTTGAGTAGGTTTAACTGTATATATGAGAAGTTTTATTAGAGACTTCCAATTTTGCCTCCATTCTTAACTAGCATTGTTGTTTTTTTCCACTGTACTATGACAGGATGTCAATGGCCGGCTCCTCACCGTAAACAAGGCAGCCCCAAGGGGATCTAGGATAGAGCGCTCTTCTGAGCCTTCACTGAGAATTTATGTGGGGAACCTGCCATGGCAAGTGGATGATACCCGCCTTGAACAGGTGTTCAGCGAGCATGGCAAAGTTGTGGAAGCAAGGGTTGTGTATGATAGGGAAAGTGGTCGCTCACGTGGCTTTGGCTTCGTTACCATGTCCACAGAGACTGAGCTTAATGATGCCATTGCTGCCCTTGATGGACAGGTGCCCCTCCCTTTTATGCAAGCACCTAAGAAGTTTTTTTTACCTTTAAAACTAGAAAGACATGCTATTTTCTTGATTATCCATTTGCTTTTGTTTTTGCATCCCTCATGTCTTTACACTATTATTTGTGATAAACTTTCTAGTTTTCTTGTTACCCCCTCTCCTTTTGCTTTTGCACCCATCAATCTTTACAATTGATGTCAACAAGCTTTACTAAGTCTGATTTTGCTTTAGCACCCATAAAGCTCAAGTCTGATTTTGCTTTAGCACCCGTAAAGCTCTAGTAATGAAATCATAATGGCTAAAACTATTTTCTTGATTAGCATATAATTTTGCATTAGTACCCATATGTCTCTGCCATTGGAATCAGAAAACATGACAATTTTCTAGATTACTTTCTGCTTTTGCATTAGCACATGAAGCTTGCCTTCTTTTTTTTTTTGAAACTGTTAGACTGTTCACATGAAGCTTGCCTTTCAAACCAGAAGTATAACTACTTTATTGATTATGCAATTCTTTTTTAGTTTTCTGAAAATTTTTGTTACTTAAATGATTATACAGAGTCTGGATGGGAGGGCTATAAGAGTCAATGTAGCTGAGGAGAGGCCTAGGCGCAGCTCTTTCTGATCTCACAGTTGTGATTCGTTTTGAATCGTGTAAGCTGCATGTTTTCTCTTTTGGGGCTGGTCTGAGATTGTGGGGTTTTGTTTCATCTCTTTTTAGCTTATGGTGCAGGTCAGAATTGATAAAGTATTTGAGGATAGGAGTTCCTTGTCTCAAGGGTTTTCTTAAAATTGTCACATTTCATTCTTAGCCATTACTATCATGTTAGTCAATATCAATTTTACCCAGCAAATACATTGATTAATCTTGTGTGGTCCTCTACATAGTGTATGCTAGCTTACAGCAAGGGGGCAAAATGAGACTGTGAATCTTGGAAAAACATAGAGATGTTGGTTCTTATTATTTTTAATTGTGGTATTTTAGCTGAGAATGATCTTCTGTGGAATACAAAATCCAATGTTTCCACCTCCTCTCTTAAAACTGATTTCCCTTAGATATTTTCTTGAGGTGTATGTTTTCTGTTTTAGGACTGTCTGAGATTGCAGGGTTTTGTTAGCTTGTGGTGCTGGTCAGAATTGATAAAGTGTTTTGAGGATAAAATTCCTTCTCTCAAGGGTTTTCTTCAAATTGTTACTTTTCATTCTTAGCCATTACTATCATGTTAGTTAAATATCAATTTCACCCAGCAAATGCATTGATTGATCTTCTTGTGGTCCTCTATATATTTTATGCTAGCTTACAGCAAGGAAGCAAAATGAGACTATGAGAATATTGGAAAAACATAGAATTGTTGGTTCTTATTTTTCTTAACTGTGGCATATTTGCTGAGAATAATGTTCTGTGGAATACAAAATCCAATATTTCCACATTTCTTCTCTTAAAAATGATTTCTCTTCGATTCTAAGATATCCAAAATGAGCACGCTTACTCCGATGTTTCTACTTACTCCTCTCTTGAAAATGATATTTCCTTATAATTATTTATTGATTAACCCCTGCTAATACAATGATTAATCTTTTGGCCATCTAGTAGCTTACAGGAAATATCTTCCAGAGGGCGCAAAATAGAGATATCCATATAGGAAAAACATAAGCAATGGATGAGTCAATGATTCCCATTACTCTTAATCCTTGGTGTCGCGATGGTGTCAGGACAAAATTATTTTCTGTGAATGAAAGCACCCTCTATCTAATATTCCCATCCAGTATCTTCGCTCAAATAAAATGTTATTTCGTTATAGTTCTTTCATGCTCACCTGAACTCATCCCGAAAGCATTGGCGGCCAGTAAGACTCGAAAATTTTCATTGAAGGGCTAATATTAGCTGATGGTGCTGATTGTATAGAGCCTAGGCTATAAACAATCAAATTAGAACCTTACTTCAAATATGGTGAAGAAATGTGGTTTCAATACTGAAATCTTTGTGATAGCTTTAAAATATATTTTTATTTTTATTTATAAAATTTAAAGCTTAAAAAACAGTTTAGATTGATAGATCTATGAAAACTTGAAAATCTTGTAAATTGACGGTCCAAAAATGTGTTATAAAATACACCATTTTCAAAACTTGAAATTCATTTTGTTTTTTCATGTCTATGTATCTTGATGTCGAGATGATCAATTTGATGTTATTTGGGTCTCAAAAAACCTCTTTTAGTGAAATTTTTGAGGTAGGTTCAAATTTGATTGTTTAGCGCCTTGCCTCTATATAAAATTTTTCCTCATCTGATATGGTAATATAATATGTTAGAAACCTCAGAAAATCCCATATAACATTGTAGGGTTTTAAGTTTTAAATTTGGGGAATGATCCTATGTATTAAAGATGACGGTATTGAACTTTTTCTACCCTTGCTTTTAAAAAGTTCATCGTCTCCTCCAAAAGCTCTGCCGTGTAAAGTTCCGGCTCCCAAAAAACCCCATCCCTCTCATCCCTCTCATCTCTCTCTCTACCGCTTGCTCCTCTCTCATTCTTGCTGCAAATTCAAAAGCCACTGCCTCCTTTCTTTCGCTTGCTGCAATTTTAGAACTCATTAAAACTAGGTTCATGTCCCAAGAACCGACCAAAATGGGAAACTCCTCCACTAAAACCCTATTTTCTCTTCAATTTTTGAAAACCATATGTTGCCCTATTTAGGTGCTCAATCTAAGAGTCATATGCCCTAATTATCGTGCCTAATAGCAGGAGATGTTTTGATCACCAATCTGAAGGAAACAGGTTGAAGAATTTTCTTCTTGATTTTTTAGTGGCCTGAATTTTGTGAGAAGGGAGGATAGTTTTCCCTCATATATTCCCCCTCTAACCTCGCTCTTTATCACCCTCTCATACTCCCAACTTTCTATTATTTCTATTTGCTCTCTCCCTCTTCCTTCAATCTCCTCTCTCCCTCCTACACGATTTGTCTTGATGTGTTTGCAGGTTGATCAATCTCCTCCCTTTGTCTATGCACTATTTTTCTTGATGGGTTTGCTGGATGTTGAAAACACCATTGTTGTTATTTTGGATTTGACGGGTCCGAAAATTGAAGAATTCGAATGATTTGTAGAGAGAGGTGCAAGAGAAATGGAACTGTAAAGAGAGCGAAATGGAGGATAGGCAGAGAGAACTCGACCTAGGTCTAGGTCGGATCTGAGTCTAACCTAAACCCAGTCAGGTCAGGTCTAGGTCCAGGTCGATCTGAACGCGATATGATCCATTCCAACCTTATTCTTAAGGAAAACGTTTATATAAGTGCGATGCTCTAAATAATCAAATTAAGGTGCAACTCAAAAATTCATTAAAAAAGGTGCTTTCGATACTGAAATTTTTTTAATTCAATCATCTCAAACGCAAGATGTATGGATATGAGAAAACAAGTTTTGAAGTATTGAAAATAATGTATCTTGTAATATATTATCTAAACCATCAATTGTCGAGATTTTCAAGTGTTCATAGATATGCTCGACCTACACTAATTTTGAACTTTAAATTTTATGGGTGCGGTTTGTATAGAGCCGAGGCTCTAAACAATCAAATTCGAGCCCACCTTCAAATAGTATCAAAAAATGTGGTTACAAATAGTATCGAAAATCTTTGTGAAAGCCTTAAAATATATTTTCATCTTTAATTATAAATTTAAAGCTTAAAAAATAGTGTAGATTGAGCCGATTTATGAACACTTGAAAATCTTGAAAATTGACGGTCTAAAAATGGGTTACAAGATACACGATTTCCTAAACTTGCATCTTGATGTTGAGATGATCAATTTGAAGATATTTAGGCATCAAAACCATCGCTTCTAATAAATTTTTTGAGAGGGGCTCCAATTTGATGGCTTAGAGCCTTGGCTCTGTATAAACTTTTCCCAAATTTTATTATTGGAGATAAAAATAAATTTTCACGCCATTATAAAGATCTCTAATATTAAAACAACATATTTCGGCAATATTTAAAGATGTGTCATATTTTGATTGTTTAGAGCCTCGGCTTTATACAAACCCTACCATTTTCTTAACATTGAATAACTAGGGGTATTTTCATAATTTGACTTGAGCCAATTAAATGGATACCATCCCTTACTTAAATACCCTTGGTTGTTTGGCATCCTAATTTTGAAAGGGGCAACCTAGAAAATTTCGCCAATTTTTTGCAGAGGTACTCTTATGAAATAAATTTTAGGTATGCTATTGAGAAATCATATCTCTTTTAGCCCTTCCATGATTTTCTTAATACATTCACTGCCCAAGTAAAAAGACCTTCCAAATCTAGAAAACTAAAACATAAAATTTAATAACTGTATTAACATCTTTAAGGTGACGCTAGAAAATTTCTAAAAATTCATAATAGGGAAAGAAAACAGTTGGAGAAGATATACATGAAGTTTTGAAGGTACTTATTGTGACCCATAGTTTTGTAATGAAACAAATAAAAGCATCGGGGATGAAGTACTTGTTGTGACCCTTAGTTTTGGAAAGAAACAAATAAAAGCATCGGGGATGAATTTGCATTGCATTCAGTTTAGCTATCCATCTCATTAAGGTGATGTAGGATACAGATTTTACTTTCTTTTTTTTTCTTTTTTTTTCTTTTTTTAACAAAAATTACAGACAACTCCCAAGAGGAGGTTTCTTATGCAACTTACTCCCAATTGAATTTTTATTTATCACTTTTTACCTCAAAATATCCTTTACTACCAAATACCCCATAATTAAAAAACGACATTTTTTTTACAAAAATACCTTTTTTCGTACACAAAAAATTAATTTTAACCTGACATTCACGTGGGATTACGAATAGTACCAAAAGCTACACGGGCTGCCGGCCATGTACCAATTGTCAGACCCCGTTAAACTAAAACAAGTGTCGGACCACATTTATTATCTGTCGAACCGCCTTTTGAATATGTCAGACCGTCATATAGATTTGTCGGACTGCATGTGTCGGACCACCATATAGATATGCCAGACCGCATGTGTCGAACCACCACATAGATCTGTCGGACCGCATGTTTGTCCAGGAGCAGAAGTGCCGGACCGCATGCGTCGAACCACCACATAGATCTGTCAGACCGCATATGTCGAACCACCACATAGATCTGTCGGACCGCATGTTTGTCCAGGAGCAGAAGTGCCGGACCGCATGTTTGTCCAGGAACAGAAGCGTCGAACCACCATAGAGAACTGCCGGACCTCATTTTGTCCAAAAAAAGAGCATAGAGAGATGTGAATAAAAGTCAAGGGAGGGTAGGTTAGTGTTTCTTTTATTTATTTTTTGTTGGTTGGGGGGGGGCGGCTATTTGTTAAAAAAGCATATTTTGGGGTAAAAAGTAAGCAAAAAGGTTTAATCCTGGGTAAGTTACATGTGAAGTCTAATTTTAGGGGTTATTTGTAATATTTCGTATATTTTTCTTTTTTGAAAAGTGGGGTACAGATTTTACTTTGCACTTTATTGGTCCAATTAAGATTGTCTTCATCGGTAGCAGGCAGTTGGGGTTTAATCAAAGAAGCAAACTGGTCCCATAAAATATTTTTAGAAATAATAGTATTGCAAGAATGAGATAGAAAGTAAAATAAAGAGTAATTTATATACGGGCTTTTAAGTAAAATATGAAATACTTATATGTGAAAATTACAAAAAAAATCGGTCAACTCATCTTTTTTAATATTTTTTCAAATTGTCCCTTGGTTAAACTGAATTTTGATTTTTTTTAGTAATTTTCAGTTCTTTTGAAAAGTGCCTTAGAGTTTGGGGCATTGCTCTACTAAAAAAAAAACTAAAAATAACAATTAAACAATTAAAATTTCGGTTGACTAAGGGTTAATTTGAAAAAAAAAAAAACTGGTTAACCGACCTTCTATATAGTAAACATTTTGTATTTTACTTAAAATTTTAAGATCCATACCTAAATCACTCTAAAACAAAATATTTATAGTAGACGTCACGTTGGGTAAAC